CTAATTTAAATATCCATGTCGACTCATCAACAGCTTCTGCTTCCGCCCTTGTAATTTGTATCTAGCATAACCAGAATTGAGCTGATTTTTAGGCAGTTTTGAACTTCATAAAGAATGTGCCTTATGTTTTTCATGCGTTTTCTGCTGCAACAGTACACATTGATGGGATCCTGTCTGAGTGTGTGTCCGAACACTTCTCCAGTTTTCTCGATTCAGCAACCAAAAAAATCATTGGCGACGCGCACCGGTTGGGCTGTGCGATCATGCGTTTTTGCAGTATTTCGTGCTGTAGCGAGGTCGCCCAGTAACCAGTAGTTAGAAATGTGTGCCATACTGTTCCTCGAAGTCCGAGAAATTATTTGTCTATGGGGTAGTTGAACAGGGAAACATCCTCTTAAAATTCCAACCTTCCTGGTTCCCGAGTAAGCCATTTTCCCGCCAAGAAATTTTACGAGGTCGCACGTAAGAACCACGTATGCCTGCAGGCTGAATTTGCTAAGTTTAAATTGTGTATGGGCTGGGAACATCCCCTGGAAATTTCAGCCTCCCAGCTTCCCTGGTCCCCGAGTTAGCAATTCTTCCCGCCAAAAATTTTCACGGGGACGTACGTGAGGACCACGCATGCCTGGGGGCTGAATCTGCTAACTTTACGTTGTATATGGGCTGCGAACATCCCCTTAAGATTTCAGCTTCCCAGCTTCCTAGGTCAGCGATTTTCGCGCCAGGAACCCTCACAGGGGCGTACGCGGGAAACACACATACATGGGGGCTGAATTTGAAATCCTTGAGTTCCAGATACACGGGGGACACAATCCCATAATTTCAGCTTTCTAGCTTTCCTGGTTCCCGAGTTAGCGATTTTCCCGCCAAAACTTCCACTTTCTCTTATGCAGGGCTTAGACGTGCGTGAGGGTCGGTACCGCGATTCTGGGGTGACACTTGGCCGGGGAACCCGTAGGCAAAATCTTGGCGTCGGAACTTGCTTGGGTGCCGAGTTGAAGTACCCGGACAGATACAGACATACACACACGCACACGAACACACACACACACTCACCATGGGTCGTCGTAATATACGTTTTTACAATTTGCATATAAGCAAAGACTTATAACTAGAAAACTGGAATTTTAGGAGGATGTTCCTTACCTATGTATATGTGACCTCCGTAAATTTATATTCAGCTTTCTAGTAAGTCCAGATCATAAGCGGATCCAGGACGGCCTACTGAGGGGAAGGGCAACAAGTGGTGCTTCTACCGCCGAAAAGTGGGGGAGGAGGGGAGGGGTGGGAGGAGGGATGGATGTCTGGTGTAGCAACGACCGGGGTATGGGGGAAAGGAGGTTCCTGGAGGCGACGGGGGTATGAAAGAGAGTTTCTTCAGTTTTAGCTCTAGGCTCGGACTTCTGTTGTGCTGGTACCTGTGTCGTTCGGGGGGAGCCCCTCGATCAGCCTATGATCCAGACCTCACAAGCGGAAAAGTGGAATTTTTGGTGAAAATTTCCGAACTCGAGAACCAGACAAGATATAAAGCTGAACAAGCATTCCCCACGCCCACATGCAACTCTGGACAGCACCGAAAGAAACAGCCCAACACTTATGCACCAACCATTATTTCCACAATTTCCACCGAAACTCAAAAGCGAGTGCATTTTGCTTGGCCAAAACAAGTTTTAGTAGCGGCTGTCTGGCCCGGTGCGCTAGTGTGTTCTGTGTTTCGTATGTTTCTCTGGATTCTCTTCGATATGCATACTATTTTCTAGCGCTCGTGAAACTATTGTCTGTTGGATGTTGCCCCACTGTTGGAAGGTGTGCGCGGCAAAAAAGTAGTGTATTTTTACAGGTTGCTGAGATAGATGGTCCAGCCTTCAGGATGAATGGGCTAGGACTGCACTCCTTTTGCTCTTGCGTGAGTTCTTTGCTGTATCCGTCGTCTCCCCTGCCCCCCTCCCCCGCCCTCACCATCTCCCCCTTGTCTTCCTCACGTTCGCTCGTTTCTTGTCGTACGTTGTCCCTCCCCTCTTTTGACTCTCTTCCTCCTTGTTCGCATTACTCTTCCCCCCCTCCTCTTTTTCCTCGTGGGCGAGCGAGGAGAAGTAGAGAGGGCCGGGCTCTAGCGATGCACGGCAAAAACGCATAAAAATCATTGGCGACGCGCACCGATTGGGGCCTGTGAGACCATGCATTTTTGCAATATTTCTTGCTGGAGGGGACGGGGGCATGGAAGAGAGTTTCCTCATTTTTAGCTTTAGGCTCAAACTTTTGTTATGCTGACACCTGTGTCGTTCGGGGAGAGGGAGAAAGGCCAGTTGGCCCCTGGATCAGCCTATGACCCAGATCGAGGAAGAGGCGAACTGAGGGGAAGTAAGGAAGTCAGAAGAGAGGAGGAGGGAGGTAGGGAAGGATTCCGTCGGGGAGGCATTGAATAATCCCGGGAAGTTTTTAGTGGCCTATTCCATTGGTGGCAACACGGTTGGTGCATTTTGGCGATCACAAAATCTCGGCTTCCCTCGACTCCAGCAGGTCTTCCTCACCGGCGACAAGCAGCAACTACGTGTGTACCACGCGTACGCCCCCGATGAGCTGCTGCAGTACGGGTTCGAAGACATCCTGGAGACGTTGCACAGACGCAAAGTCATTGCGTGTACGGGATCGTTGATCAGCGGCATTTCTCTTGGCCTCCCTGCATGCGTGCGGTACCGACGAGAAGTGCACAATCCCTCACAGCACTTATTTCACACTCCCTTGCCCTCATTCTCAAGCTCCAGCCCTGTGAAGATGCGTTTTTTGCATACCTACCCGCAGATTTTTGTCGCTAATGGCATTGGTTTTTCCGGCAGATGCTTCTAGCTAAAAGAGTTTCAAACTGGCCGCCAGAACTGTCAGGAAACATCCCTTCAAAATTCCAGTCTTCTAGCTTCTCACGTTCTCGAGTTACAACTTACTCGGAAAAAACTTTCACAGGCCCGTACACAGGTATCACGCTTACCCGCGGGCAGGGCATGAGCTCGTTGATACCCACTTGGACAGGGAACATCCCCGTAAAATTTCAGCGTTCTAGGTTCTCAGATCCCCGAGTTATGAACCTACCCCAAAAAAATTTTGGTGGGCCCGTACGCGGGTACCATGCGGGTGATAAGGCCAATTTTGAGGATTGGGGCCGGCACGTGCATGTAGACTAAGTTCGGAAATTTCAGCCCTGCAGCTTTTATAAGTCTTGAGATGAAAATGCGTGACAGATGCATACAGAGACACACGGACACAGAGACAACCCCTCGTCAATATGCGTTTTTGCATTGCATAGTTGCAAAAAACGCATAAAAACTACTGCAGATTGATTTTCTCAAAGTGTATGTGCATATATGTATGTATCTGTACGTGTGTGTATGTATGTATGTGTGTATGTATGTCTCTGTACGTACGTGTCTGTACATATATTTATGTGTATGTACGTGTCCGTGTGCAATTGTCTGTACATGTCTCTGCATGTCTACGTGTATGTGTTGTCTGTGGGAGTTTCAGCGTTGGTCATCATCGGATAAAGCGGCATACGCATTACACGTTTTCACCCTTCTAGAGGGGTTTCTTGACTGGGCTAGACGCCTTATAAATATCAATAGACAAAAAAGCTTGATATTGCCAAGCTAGAACGCTGTGTTCTAAGATTTTGCTTCAGAAACCGATCGATACTGAGTAAATTTATCTACCCCGATAATGTAGAAATTAAAAGCTTAGTTAGTAAGTTATCCTCATGAGCGTTGCCTCCTCATAATTTACATAGAATTACTACGCGTCTCATATGTTAGTTTCCTCCTCTTCCATCTGCTCCATCACTTTTATTACTTTTATGCTATTACACTTTCTCTCCTTCTCTTCTCTTTCACCTATCCTTCTTGCAAATTAGTTACATGTCCTTTCAATACATGGCGCGGGTAGGTGGCTATACTGACGATTCCCACTCCTACACGTATGCATTGTTCGGTCTGTGTTTACAGCTAAGGGATGAAACACAGACTGACTGCATCGTGAAATGTCTTCTTATACATGACACCTAATTCCAGTCTTCTTACTCCACTATTCAGTATTGCAGGAATATTCGATTGACTGACACAGTGTGTATGTGTGGTGATGGAGCGCATCAATGTGGGCATGCACGTGGACATACGTCGTTCGGATGGTCGTGTGCACAACGCGGTGATCAGCGAGGTGCGCAAGGGCACGCAATCGGTAACGGTGGAGTGGTTCGAAAGTGTACGTTTCGCATATTTCCAGCTTTTCCCTCGGACAAGATGAAAGGTTTCACCCGCCGCGGGTTGCTGGGGTAGGAGATGAAGGTGCCGTCGTTAAAGAAAACCACGATTTATTCAAACCTTCAACTATAAACCGGGTAATTTAACAAAAAAAAGACTTCCCTACAGTTTTCCCTCTCCCAACATCCAGTTCATTTACATATCTGAATTTTTTGATGAACGACCGCTCTAGCAACATTTTCACTTTTCAGTGGAGAACTGAAAATGGATATTAGGAGAGGATGAGTGCGGTCGTTCACTGCAAAATGCACTCGTTTCTGACTGAAACCTGCGTAAAAAGCTGAGCAAAAACGCATGCTCGCGGACTTTGATTTCTGGCGAAATGCAGGCGAACAGCAAAAATATCGCAGAGCAAGCGCTTCTTACTCCTTTAGGTACCAGTCATGAATGTATTTTTATACTTTTTTGCTATGAAGCAGTGAGCAAAAGCGCATATTGTCGAGAGGTCGTCCATGTGTGTGTGTTTATGTGTATGTGTTCGGAAGCAAGTGAACTTTGTTATCTGTTTTCAACTCAACAATCAGGAAAGCTAGAAGGCTAAAATTTTGAAGGTATATTTCCACCCTATTTGTCACTCTCCCGTTTTAATGACATCGCTCATACGCGCATAGATCTCGCATATGGACCTCCAAGAAATATGCATATTTCTCTGTTGGGAAACGATTTTGGAAAGCAGACAAAATAGAAAGCAGAAACTTTACAGGGATATTCTGTGTGCTTGTGTAAGCTAAAGAATTCAAATTCAGCCACTGAGCACATTTGTGCAGCGTGTGCGGTCACGTCAAAGTTTACATCTGGCACTGTGCTAACTCGAAAACTACCCGGAAAACAGTGGCTGAAATTTTGCTAAAATATCTATCGTCCATGTGGGAAATTGTACACCTAAATTGAGCTTTGATTTGCACTTCCCCACGACTTAGGGCACTTCAAAAATATTTGTAGCAAAGTGGCTATTTCGCTTAGCGGATAAGTTGCGAGACGAAAACTTCGCTGGGGTATTCTACTTTCATATATTATCTTAATTCAGTTTGGAGATGAAATCCTCTGCAGGTGGGTGTGAAAAACACTCGGTTTTATCGCAAACTCAAAAACGAGTGCATTTTGCAGATCTTGTAATCCTCCTTCGACTTCGTTCAAATTTGCATGTCTTTCATTGAGCGAGCATTTATCAGAAAACGGCCGGATTTCATGCAAAAATCTGATAATCGTGTGCGCTGGAAGTCCATGCGGCTCCATAATGCAACACCTTCATCCTAACCTACATCCTTTTCCTCTGCATGCAAAAAGAGATCGAAACAACCAATATGAGCCCAAGTGTTAAGCTGCAGCGTAGAGACCATTCTTTCTGTTAGCAGTCTGCAAGTTTAGCGCAAAAAAGCATGATCGCTCCGGAAAGTCTGGCGGGTTCCAACCTGAGTTACTGAGTCTGGTGCAGTCTGTTATTCATACAAAAAATCAATGATGAGTTTTTGCATTTTGATATATGCAAAAACGCATTAAAAAACCACAAAATATATTTACTCTGTTGTGTCGCAAAGACGAATAACAGGCGAGCAAAGATTTCCGAGAATCGTCTTCAACAAAACTCGGCAGGAAGAGACTCTGCAATTTTCCCTTCCGGCGTGTGACTGCCTCAGGATTTGTTGTGTGTTCATTGAGGTGGCTAAACTTCTTTGCTCGGAACTCTCCAGGTAATTTTGTTCCAACTGCATTTTTATATTATTCAGATAACATCATCATTTATCGACAGACGAAGTGCTGGCTGAAATTTCCTGTGTTGGACCCCTTCGAAATAGTTCTGTTCCTACTGCATTTTTGGCTTATTGAGGCAGCTCATGATTTAGGGAGAAACGAAAGGAAAGGAGGTGGATTTGAAAACACTGCTCTCGATAAACCCGATGCTCGCTGCACCACCGTCCACATCTCTGTCGATGAACTTTGTGGCACCTGCTGCTGCTACCAATGATGAGAATCGTTCGGCTCCCGAACTTCACTCTAAACTCACTAACAATAACGCAGGTATTGGAATTTCTCATCAGTGCTCTTTTTTTTCAGTGAATTTGATGTTTTTTGACGCAGTTAACGTGAATTTTGTGCCAAAAACATTGATAAGAATAGCTTGCATGTTCGCTGTTTGAGCATCAGGATTGCCAGCGGGTTGACCACCAACCAGTGCAAAATTGTTCCGTTCAGCAGAATGAATAAATGGCAGATATGAATAAGGAGTGAAATTGGCCGACCCGCTCTTTCCCTTGCTTCAGCTATCCTACGCTTTCACAGAATATGCAAATGTCCCGTCTTGTGACTCGAGTTCCCTCTCGACATAAGTAATATGGTT